GCATCCACACTCAAAAGTTCAACCTAAGTTTTGAACTTTTAGGCTCCGAGAATAGTTTATAGAGAAGTAGCTCATTCACACCTCGTTCTGTCTGCTAAAACTCTCAATGGTTCTCGCAAAAGCTCCTTTCTGGACATGTCATACACGTCACAGATGGCTGTGCTGTGCTCCATCGGGGGATTGGTGCTGAAGAGCTGCCCGGTCAGACATGTGGATGTTGAGAAAATAACGTCACAGCCACGGAGGGCATCCACACCTTCTCCACCTGCACTCCACTTGGTCAAGCTTGACCTCAGCAGGGCAGGGGACACTGCTCCCTGGGCAGGGCACCGGTGGATGAAAGGTGGCCAGAGTCTGTTAAATAATACACAGGGGACAGACATTCTTTTTATTAAAGATTTATTTACTTATTTTTCTTGGAAACGCAAATTACAGAGAAGGTGAGAGAGAGAGAAATGTCTTCCATCTGCTGGTTCACTCCCCAAGAGGCCACAATGGCCAGAGCTGAGCCAATTTGAAGCCAGGAGCCAAGAGCTTCCTCCAGGCCTTCCATGTGGGTGCAAGGTCTCAAGGCTTTGGACCGTCCTCCACTGCTTTCCGAGGCCACGAGCAGGGAGCTGGATGGGAAGCGGGGGCCACCAGGATTGGACCCAGTACCCATATGGGATTCTGGGATGTGCAAGGCGAGGATTTAGCCACTAGGCTATCAAACCAGGCCCAGTCATTTAATGCAGCAGTTTGCATGCTGAGACAGTCTCAGTGCCCACGGAATACCAGGGACCAGGCTCCAACTCTCACTCTTGCTTCTAGCTTCCTGCTAATGTATTGTGCGGGACACAGCAGGTGAAATCTCAATTGGTTTAGTCCCTACTGCTCATCCATGTGGGGGCCCAGACTGTGTTCCCGGCTACTGGCTCCTGCCCTAGCCCAGCCCCAGTCATATGGACACCTGGGGAGTGAGTCTGTAGATGGGAGGTCGTTTTCTGTCTCAAAGAAAAAAATATAGAATTACATAGCTTACCACCAATTGTTTTTTCCCTGAGTATGAAATACTTATTTTTAAAATTATTTTTTATTAGAAAGTCAGATATACAAAGAGGAGTCGAGGCAGAAAGGAAGGTCTTCTGTCTGATGATTCACTCCACAAGTAGCTGCAACAGCTAGAGCTGAGCTGATCTGAAGCCAGGAGCCAGGAGCTTCTTCCGGGTCTCCCACACAGGCGTAGGATCCCAAGGCTTTGGGCTGTTCTCCATTGCTTTCTAAGACCACAAGCAGGGAGCTAGATGGGAAGTGGGCAGCCAGGACACCAATTGGTGCCCACGTGGGATCCTGGCACATGCAAGGCTAGGACTTTGGCCACTAGGCAACTGTGCTAGGACCCTGAGTATGAAATATTAAATTACAAATATTCATGGGGAATCATCAGCTTTTTGGGTAGAAAACAGAGCTCTATTCAGTGGGTATGTTAGTATACAAGTGGTATATTTTCTTAAACATTCTGGTTGGCACTTCCTGAGCTGGTTGGTAACAGTGAGAACACCAGCAGGGCTCAATGGCTTGTTATTATCGTTGAAAGTAAGTGGCATTTTTCTAAGTAAACTGTAAGCAAACATAGAGAGGCAAATACCCTACACTAGCAGGATACTGGAGAGACTGGGAAAGTCTTCATTTTAAAATTTTTCTTATGGCAGGGCAGAGGGAGAAAGTATTCCCACTGACACATTCATTCCATAAATGTCCACAATGGTTGGGCTGTGCTTGGCCAAAGCCGGGAGCCAACAGCCGCTTGCAGGTCTCCCGGAGGGTTGGCGGGGCTCAGTTACACCCGTCTCCACTGCTGCTGCTGCCAGTCTGTCCTGGAAGGAAGCTGGAGTCAGGAGCTGGCGCAGGGAGGAACTCAGGCTCTCTTGATTGCTGGGCCAAACACCTGCCTGTTGGCTTTTAAGTCGAGAAAAGATGGTGGATGCGGAGAAGGAATGACGGAGGGCAGCATGGCTGTGGCCGGCTTTGCGGTTGAAGAACCTGGTCACTGGAGAGGCTCAGTAATTACTCAAGGACATCCCACTTCAAAGTGTCACAGACACGGCAGGCACTGGGTGAGCAGCAGCTCCAGACACCTGCGTCTCACAGCGGAGTGCCTGGGCTCAAGTCTGGCTTCACCCTGGATTCTAGCACCCTGAAATTCCAACCCTTGGAGGCAGCAGGTGGTGGTTCAAGTACGCAGGTCCCTGCCGAACTGATGGCTCCTGACATTGGCTCAACCCAGCTGTGGCTGGGGGCTGGGGGGAAAGGGGGTTGCCGGGATTTGGGGAGTGCATCCGCAAAGGGAGATCTCTTTCTCTCTAAAAAGTTTTTCTTTTTTTTTAAATTGTCTAAGGCAGAATTTAAAACATCATAGTGTTTCTGATCCCCAAGGCCCCATACCCGTGAGTGTCAAAATGTCTCCTCAGAGCAAAGGGGCAAAGAGTAGAGAAAGGTGTGTCTGGCACGGTAGCCTAGTGGCTAAAGTCTTCATCTTGCATGTGCCAGCATCCCATGTGGGCGCCAGTTCTAATCCTGGCAGCCCTGCTTCCCATCCAGCTCCCTGCTGTGGCCTGCGAAAATCCAAAACCTTGGGACCCTGCACCCGCATGGGAGCTCCAGAAGAAGCTCCTGGCTTTGGATCGGCTCAGTTCCGGCTACTGTGGCTGCTTGGGGAATCACTGGATTGGAAGATCTTCCCCTGTCTCTCCACCTCTCTGTATATCTGACTTTCCAACAATAAATAAATAAATCTAAAAAAAAAAGTAGAGAAAGGTACAAAAGAGGAAGAGAAAAATGAGAGAGGACTAGAGAAAGTAAAAAAAAAAAAAAAAAAAAAAAAAAGGAGCAGAGAGGGAAAGGAGAGGACCAGCAGAGAGAAGGGCGACCAAAGAGGGGGAAGACCCTGCCTGGTGGTCTCGAAGCCCAGTTCAAGTCACTGGGGCAGCCCCAGCTCTCAGCATTCGCTCTTACCAAGACCAAGGTCGTCTGGAGAGAGGTCAGGATGTCCCTGCGGACGGGGTTGGCCCCTGCCTGCACCTGCGGATCCCTGGGAAGCCCTCAGCGCTCTGGAGGAGGCGGGAATTCGCGCCAGTTCTCTATAATCAGATCCTAGCGGCGGCAGCGTTGGGATCTCGGTCAGGAAGCCAAGCAAACATCCTTAAGGGGGAGGAGGAGGAGGAAGAGGAGGAGGAGGAGGAGGAAGAGGAGGAGGAGCAGGAGGAGGAGGAGGCCGGTTCCACCCCAGCCCCACGCTCTCCCAGAGGCTGTGGCGGGTGAGTCAAGCCTTGGGGTCTAAACAGCAGATGCATTAACCAGCTGCCCCGGGAAGAAGTAGTGGACCGCACAAAATATTGCGGCTACTGCCCCCATCCGAATCTGGGGTCCATCGGGAACCCTTGGTTCCCGTCCATTTAAGATCCAGGCCAGGGCCCGGCTACCTGCTGCCCACTGCGCCCTCGCGCTTCAGTCGGAGAAGGGTTTTGTGACGTCTGCATTCTGTTCGCTTACCTCACTTTGGGGACATGGAGAGGAAGGGACCACCACGCATTCTTTGGAGTAAACTTTCTCACCCGCCGACCACGTTTAAAACGAAAAGGCAAACCACACCAGCGAGCGCGAGAGCAAGAGCACGGAGCGTGTCCACCCGCACCCAGCTGATGGCTTCCTGGTCGCCTCGGCCAGAGCGCCCCTCGCTCGCTACGCTCCCACTTCCCTTGGCGGTCGAAGCAGCAGCTTCCCGCGGCCAGGCTCCGGTACCCAGCCCGGTTCCCCAGACTGCCCGCTCGGCTGGCCCGCGACTCCGCCCCCAGGGCGCCGCGAGCACCTGCCCCGCCGCCGAGACAGGGTGGGCAGCACCGGAAACGCGTGTCTCGGGGCGGGCGCCGCCCGCCTGCGCCCGCCTCCCGGGGGGCTCTTTAAGGCCGGCGGTTGCGTGGTCACCCGTGGGGCAGGGCCAGCGTGGCTCGCCCGACGCGGCGCCGCCTCCCGAGCCGTAAGTAGCCGCGTGGCTGCGCCTCGGGATCCTGGGGTTGCGCCGGCGCTTGTTCGCGCGTGCTTTCCGCCCAGGGCGCAGCGGGTGACCTGCAGGACCCTGCTCCGGATTCCCACCCTGACCCCTAACCGTTCCTGGAGTGCTGGGATCGGCAGGAAAGAAGGGCCCCGCTAGCCTGTGGGGGCTGGGGGCGGTGCAGGTTTGGGGGAAAGGGGTTCGGGGAGGCGCCCGAGCGGTGGCCTCTGGGTGTGTCCGCTGGCGGCTCGGAATCCAGCCGTAGCGGAGCAGGGTGGACAGTGTTCTATCCGGCCGGCAAGAGAAGGTAGAATAACCAGTCGGTTCGCAGCCAGCCCGAGCGCAGCTTCAGGCCAGTGTTGTCACAGTAAAACGCCCGGGTTTAGCCGCGAGATCAAAACTACGGAGAGCGCGAGCCGCCCAGCGGCCAGCTGCGCATCTGCAGACAGACGCGCTGCCGGTCCGGGGCCTACGTGGTCCTGGGCGCCGCTGGGCAGCTGCTGCGGCTCCGGGAGTGGCCGGTTGGCGTGCGCAGGCCACCGTGCCAGGGCTCGACCGCTCTTGGGGTGTTTTTTTGGCTGGAACCCAAAGTCACATCTCACTTCCAATAAGGCTTCCAAAACATGCTGTACCAAAGAGGTTAGACAGATTTCCCCACTGTTTTCTTCGATTTTGTAAATCAATCTTTTTTTTAAAAAGAAGATTTATTTATTTTTATTACAAAGTCAGATATACAGAAAGGGGGAGACACAGAGAGGAAAATCCTCCATCCGTCCAATAATTCACTCCCCAAGTCAGCGCAATGGCCGGTGCTGTGCCAATCCAAAGCTGGGAACCAGGAACCTCTTCCAGGTCTCCCACATGGGTGCAGGGTCCCAAGGCTTTGGGCTATCCTCTGCTGCTTTCCCAGGCCACAGGCAAGGAGCTGTAGGGGCCAGTGCCCATATGGGATCCCGGGGCGCTTGTAAGGTGAGGACTTTCACGACTAGGTTACCAAGTTGGGCCTGAGAGAAAATGCACATTGTGGCTTGTGTATCACCCTGGATTCTTTTGCGTGGCAGGTGTGATTGAAGAGCTAGCGCCATGGCCTTGGTGCCCTATGACACCGCAGGAGTGGGGCTCCAGAAATTCCACAAGCCGCTCACCACCTTCTCCTTCGCAAACCACACGATCCAGATCCGACAGGACTGGAGGCACCTGGGGGTCGCAGCAGTGGTATGGGATGCGGTGAGTAAGCCTTGGGGGAAGGGAAGGGAGGGGAGTTGAAATGTCAGTACTGGATTATTGAAGACTGGTCTTTTTAAAAATAAAACCCACAGCTTTATTGGGGGGTATAATTCAGCATACGCTGCACCTGTTGAAGGCACGGGATTTCAGTTTGTTCGGGGGCAAACGTCGGCACCTCCATTTTAGAGCATGTTCCTCCCCCTGTCACCCGGGTCGCTGTCATCTTGCCAATCCTGGGTCCCCACTGCATTGCCTTTTGAAGGTGCCCACGTGAAAGCTGAGGGAAGAGAAGTGGCTTGCCAGTAGCAGCACTTTGAGAAATCCCATCACAAATTATGAATAATGACAAGGGGTGGCAAGTGCCAAAAACACAAGAGTGACCAGAGCAGCTGAGCTCCTGGGTGTGTGTGTCAGCTCTGCTCCAGGGGTGTACAGTGAAAAGTTTCGATAACATGGAGGCTTTTAAAATGTGTTTACTTATTTTATTAAAAGAGTGAAAGAGAGGGAGATAAAAGAGATTGTCTAACCCCTGGTTCACTCTGCAATGATCAGAGCTGCGCTAGTCTGGAGCCAGGAGTCAGGAGCCTCCTCCCATTCTCCCATGTGGGCCAAGGTCCCCAAGCACTTGTGCCATCCTCCAGTGCTCTCCCAGGCCATTAGCAGGAAGCTGGGTCTGAAGTGGAGCAGCTGAGACTCCAGCCAGTGTCCATCGGAGATGCTGCTCTCCATAGCTAGAGAGTTAACCTGCTATACCACCATGTCAGCCCTTCCTTTGTGTAGGGTCTCTAACTCACACAGCAAGTTATTGGAAACTTTGGCACTTAAGCCTTCTGCCCCACCTGTATGCCGGAGAGCCCCCGTGGACAGTGCCGGTGTGGGATGTATCTCGGGAGGAGCCCCCGTGGACAGTGCCAGTGCGGGATGCATCTCGGGAGGAGCCCCCGTGGACAGTGCTGGTGTGAGATGCATCTCAGGTTACAGACTTCCTGTGCTGCTTTGCCCATGTTAGGTCATGGTGGGTTTGCCTTCCCTTAGTAACTAGCCTTCCCTTCACCAAAGTCACATTGTGTGCATGCCAGTTCTTCCAGGTTATCTTGTAAACCTTCCACTTACACTTGGGGAATGCTTTGTGCTTGCCCTAGGATAGGTGGCCTGGGGCCAGAGCAGCTGAGCTCCTGGGTGTGTGTGTGTGTAGTGGGCGGGGAGTGTCTGTGTGCCTGGTCCTTTGCTGCCCATGCTTAGGACCTGCAGCCCTGCAGAAGCCAGAGCGATTGTTGATATAATTGTGACCACCCTGTGTTTTGTCTCAGGCTGTCGTACTTTCCACGTATCTGGAGATGGGAGCGGTGGAGCTCCGGGGCTGCTCGGCTGTGGAGTTGGGAGCTGGCACCGGGCTGGTGGGCATAGTGGCTGCCCTGCTGGGTGAGTGAGAGGCACTGCCCTCTCCCTGGTGAGCAGGACTCACAGGGGGCATTGGCTGTTTTCCTGCACAAAATTCCCTGTCATTTTCCCCTTAATAGGTTGGTGTCTTTCCCTTGTATTCAAGAGTTGTGGGCCCTGGTACTCTCTCTTTTTATTTTGTTTTTAAGATTCATTTATTTTTTTATTGGCAAGTCAAATTTACAGAGAGAAGGAGAGACAGAAAGAAGGATCTTCCATCCACTGGTTTCTTCTGGGTCTCCCATGCGGGTGCAGGGTCCCAAGGCTTTGGACTGTTCCCTACTGCTTTCCCAGGCCACAGGCAGGGAGCTGGAAGGGAAGTGGAACAGCCAGGGTGTGAACTGGTGTCCATGTGGGATCCTGGCATGTGCAAGGCAAGGACTTCAGCCACTAGGCTACTGTACTGGGCCTAGCCCTGGTACTTTTAACTCCAGGAAAACAGTTTTTTTGTTTGTTTGTTTTGATATTCGTATTTCTCATGTGTGATGACAGACTGACCTAACGCAGCTTGGATTTCAAGGAGGATAATTTTTTATTAGTTTCAGGTGGCCAGAGCCATCCAGGGCAGAGCTACTCCTGGGCAGAGTCGGAGTGGATGGCCTGTTGCCAAGCGTGCTGCTTTTCCTCCCCTGGGGCAGGTGGGCCAGCCGCGGTCTTCTAGGACAAAAATGGCATGGACAGCAGACAGTTCTAAATCTAAGGATTTGTTCTTTTGCAGGGAGGGTGGGTGTTGAAGGTGGGATTGATAAACGGGCATTAATTTAGGCCTGGAGCACTTTGATGTCTCATTTTTATTTTTATTAGTCTTCGTTGACTTTTTTCTATAATTTCTGACTCCCCTTGTTCTGGCTGGTCTGTCCAATGATGAGCATAGACAAGCTTCTAAGATACCCTCGCTTCATGCTGTCCCGTAGGGCTCTTGTCCACCTGCAGTGTCCGATGTGGCAGCTCTGGGGGAGGCTCCGAGAGCCTGCCTGTCCGTCAGGCCCTCAGGTGTGTTCAAGTCACACGTTGGTGTGAAGATCTGGGCTTCCACAGCACTGGGAACTCATCCCAGGGTCTGTAGACACTCCAAGACCTGCTCCGTTTCCTCTTTGGTTCTCTTTTTCTGGCTGCTCGTTTCTGTTTCCAGGGTCCTTTTTGTCTGCTTAGGTGTAGCCTTGCCAAAATTTGGCAGGGAGCATTTGCAGGGGAGGCGATGAAAGGAGAAGTGTCAGTAGGTTGGTTTAGGTTTCCCTCTGTGTAAGGCAACATCCCGTAAGGCCTGCCTGGTCCCGCAGCTGACCTTACGCCTGGTCACGTGTGCTGCGTATCACCTGAGGTTTTCAGTTTTCTTCTTCTTCTTCTTTTTTTTTTAATGAATTTCACTTTTCTAGGAATTATTATATTAAGTTTTGTTTTTAATATTGTTTACGTAGTTGAAGGATGCATGCTCTTGTGGGTCTGAGGTTAAGGTGAGGAGGGTCATGGTATGGAGGAAGGTGGGTGGGTAGGAGAATGTTTCTTTTTTTTCTTCTGCATCACGAGGTGGGAGTGGGAAGGAGCGGCTGCTACTCCTTGCTGTCGAACTACTTCAGTACCCGGTGATGGGGGACAGTCATTTAATGACACCTTGACACCCTGACGTGCGGGAAGGGTGTTCCGAGGGTGTTACTTGAGCGGTTTTGGTAGTTCTGAGACATTGTCGGCTTCATCGCACCAGGGTTGAGAAAGTCTTTCCAGGGTCTGTTGGCTGACCAAGTCCGCATGAGTGCATCCCAGATCCAAGCACGTGCTGCGAAGCTTAGCCAGGAGGGGGTTCCAACCTTCCTGCTCTCCTACCTCTGCCCAGGTACTCGATGTTGATTAGCTGGCCTGGATGAGCTGGCTGTCATATTTCCTGTGTGCATCTGGGCTGCACAGGGACAAGCCAGGCAAGTGAGGCACAGTCCCAACACATAGACTCCGAAGTCGGACCACAGATATGATTTCCTTGTGGCTGGGGTTTGAGTTAGACAGTCCCTAAAGGAGCATCATCTGGGGTGACCTCAGACTTGGGTCTTGTATGCACCAGCCAGTGCAGGGTCAGGTTTGGTCAGTCACCTGCACCAGCCAAAGCATATACCAGTGGCTTCCGCTGCCTGGTCAGTTGTGCCCCCAGCCTCCTCTCTCACATGAACTGATGGGCCTAGCCTGTCGCAGGCTAAGTCTTCATGCATACTAGTGGGTGCCATAGCCTAGTTGGGATGACCCCAATAATCCCCAGCAGGCCCACCCCAGCCCCAGGGTTTACATGTGCCAGGGTGTGCTGTGGTCTAGTCCGGTCAGTCCTGCATCCCATCTGGTTCTTGTGCACACTCATGGGTGTGGCAGCTTAGCTCAGCCCACCCTGCCCCCAGATCCGGCTCACAGATATGCTGATGGGTGCTGCAGCCCAGCCTGGCTTAGCCTGACCTGCCCCAGCCCTGGCCCTCTTGCTCACCAATGGGAGCTGCAATCTAACAAGTTTCCCTACCAGGCCGACTCCCAGCCCCAGATCTCCTGTGTGCTGGGGGGTGTTCCACCCTGTTTGGTATCATCTGCCCTGAGTCCTGGCCTTGGCATGTCCCGGTGGGTGCTGCAGCCTGGTGCACCTCAGCCTCCTTTCAGCTCAGCCTGTCATTACTCTCCGTATAAACCAGGGGGTGCTGCGGTCCTGCAGAGGTGAGCCCACAAGTCCCCTAGAGAGTCTGCCCCCAGATCCAGTTCTCTTGCTTTCTGGTGGGTGTTGCGGCCTAGCCTCACCTGGCCCACAGCCTGCTCCAGCACTTGCAAGCAGGTGCTGTGGCCTAACCCAGATAGGCATGCCCCCCAACCCCAGCTTTAACATGCACCAGTGCATGGCGGGTGATGCTATTTAGACCAGCCCAGGTCTCCCATGTGGGCAGGTGCCTTGGCCTGACCCAGGCATGCCCTCTCGTTTCCCTCCTTTTTAAACTACTCTGTCTCAGCTCCCTTGCTGGCTGTGAATGCAGTGGTCTGATTCGTGAAAGACCCTTGAAGTCATTCCTTCGCTGTCAGACATTCCCTTAGCCACTCCCACTGCATCATACCCCATGACCCTGTTTCCTGGGCAATCTGCAGCCCTCCAACCTAGGGACCAGGGTGGTGTGTCCCAGCCCAGTGTACCCTGCCTTCCCCACAGACTTTTTTTTTTTTTAAGATTTATACATATTGGGCCCGGTGCGGTGGCGCAGTGGTTGAGGTCCTCGCCTTGCACCCCCGGGATCCCATATGGGCGCCGGTTCTAATCCCGGCAGCCCCGCTTCCCTTCCAGCTCCCTGCCTGTGGCCCGGGAAGGCAGTCAAGGACGGCCCAAAGCTTTCGGACCCTGCACCCGCATGGGAGACCCGGAAGAGGCTCCTGACTTCGGATTGGCATAGTAACGGCCGTTGCGCTCACTTGGGGAGTGAATCATCGGACGGAAGATCTTCCTCTCTGTCTCTCCTCTCTGTATATCCACCTTTCCAATAAAAAAAAAATAATAAAAATAAATCTAAAAAAAAAAGATTTATATATATTTAAAGATTTTATTTTTTAATGGAAAGTCAGATATACAGAGAGGAGAAGACTTAGATAGGAAGATCTTCTGTCCTTTGACTCAATGCCCAAGTGGCCAGAGCAGCCAGAGCTGAGCTGATCTGAAGCCAGGAGCCAGGTCTTTCATCTAGTGATTCACTTCCCAAGTGGCTACAATGGCCAGAGCTATGCCGATCCGAAGCCAGGAGCCAGGAGCTTCTTCCGGGTTTCCCACATGAATGCAGGATCCCAAGACTTTGGGCTGTTCCCATCTGCTTTCCCAGGCCACAAGCAGAGAGCTGGATGGGAAGAGGTGCTGCTGGGATTAGAACCGGCGCCCGTATAGGATCCTGACACGTGCAAGGCGAGGACTTTAGCCACTAGGCTGCCGCACCAGGCCCTTGGCATATTTCTTTCCAGTCACGCTTCCTCATGGTTCTCTCACTATGTGTGTCTGTGTCTGCACGTGCGCGTCAGTGTGCACACGTACATACATGTATGACTGATGTGGTGAACGTATGTCATCGGCATTTCTTGGCGCTGCAGTGTGACCTTCACGCTGTTTGCAGTCGCTACAAAGCATTAGTATGGAGAAAGTTTGAAGTTGAAGCCTGAAGGTGAGAAAAAGTTCATCTCTTTATAGATAGAAGCTGCAAAAGTAGTGACTTCAAAATGTCGAAGGGCTGGATTGTTCCCCTTTGAGTTTTTTAATGTTGCTTGAGGGGAGGGTGGAAGGAACTGCCATCTCTTGGTTCACTTCCAAGTGCCTGGGAGCTAGGAAGTCAGTGCAGCTCTCCCAGGTGGGTGGTCGGGAGCCAAGCACCTGCTGCCTCCCGGGGTGCACGGCAGAGGGAATCTGGAATTGGAAGTGGAGGTGGGACTCAGACCAGGCACCCCAGCATGGCATATGGCCTTCCTGCACTGTGCCAAGGCTCATTGTTCCCTTCTTAAAAATGCTTTTTTTTTTCAGGATTTATTTATTTTTATTGGAAAGTCAGATTTACAGAGTGCAGGAGAGACAGAAAGATCTTCCATCCTCTGGTTCATTCCCCAAGTAGCTACAGTGGCTGGAGCTGAGCTGATCTGAAGCCAGGAGCTTAGAGCTTCTTCTGGGTCTCCCACATGGGTGCAGGGTCCCATGTCTTTCAGCCATGCTCCACTGCACTCCCAGGCCACAGGCAGGGAGCAGAAAGGGAAGTGGAGCAGCTGGGACATGAACCAGCACCCATATGGGATTGTGGTGCGTGCAAGGAGAGAACTTTAGCCGCTGGGCTATTTGCCAACTCCTAAGTAATTTTGATGATGTTTACGTAGCAGGTAAGGATTCATGCCCATGAAGACCACTGATTAGGATAGGGAGGGTTGAGGTATGGGGGAAGGTGGGTAGAACAAATGCTTCCGGTTTTCCTTTTCCCCTGTTTGAGTGTGGGGTGATGTCTACTTGA